GCGCGCGCCGCCCGCGCCGGCCTCGTCGTGCTGGATCGCGTCGTGGAACGCGTCGGTGTCGCACGAGTCCGCGCGGCTCGGCGGCTCCTCGGGCGCCGGCGTCGGCGACTCGACCTCGCGGCGGCGGCGGGCGCGCCCGCGGCGGCCGACGCGGCGCCGCCGGCGGCCGATCGTCGCCTCCCTGGCCGCGGCAGCCGCGGATGTCCCCGACGTCGGCGTCTGCTGGACACGAAACCAGGTAGCGCCAAACCCAAACCTCGACGACTGGAAGGAGCTCTTCGTGTCCGCGGCGTCGCTGCGCCTCAGCGCGCCGGGCGACGGCGTCGGCACGTGCCTCTTCACGGAGGTGGAGAAAAGTGTTGTCGACGACGCCATGGCCGCCTGCGACGCGGCGCTCGGCGGCCACGTGGGAACCGCGCCGCTCTTCGACGTCGTGCTGCGCGCCTCCACCGCGGAGGACGCGCTCGAGGGCGTCCGACGCGCCGCGCCGCTCGACCGCGTCATCCGGAGCCGCCTCGGGCGGCTCCACCACCTCCTGCGGTAGCCCTTTGCGAACACGCTCTTCGTCGACGACGACACGGCGTTCTGCGGCGGCGGCAACGGCGAGAGCCTGCTGGGCGCGCTGGAGGCGTTCCGCGACGCGGCGCCCGACGTGCGCTTCGCGAGCAAGCACGCGTCGGCGGCGCTCACGAAGCGCAAGCTCGCCGCCGCGTCCGTCTCCGGCGCGGCGGCGCTCCAGTGCGCGGCCGTGCGGTGCCCGCGCGACTGCCCGGCGTACGGCGAAGCGTCCTACGCGTCGCCCGCGTGGTACCGCGACGCCTGCGGCCGCTGCCGCGTGCGCTGCGGCGACGACCTCGTCGCCGACGTGCTGCGGGAGGAGGCGAAAGCGACCGTCGCCGACCCGGGCTGCGTGGCCTTCGCGGGCTCGTCGGACAACCTGCAGGGCGGGGCCGTCTTCGTCAAGTCGACGGCCGCGGGAAACGCCTTCGTCCGCGACTGGATCACCGCCTACGCGGACCACTGGCTCGCGCCGAACGCGACGGAGGGCCACGGGCCCCGCTACGTCGGCATGGACCAGCGCGGACCGCCGGCGTCGGTGTCATCTCTCGAAACACACACACCGCGTCTTGTAGGCCGCCGCTGGCGAAGCTCATCCTGTCCCACTGCTGCAGTCGGCGCACGCGGCGGCGCTGGCGCAACTCGTCGGCGCCCGGCGAGGCGTGCCGGTCGCACGCGTGGCGCTACGGCGAGCTGCCCGCGGAGCTCAACGCGCGCTTCCCCTTCGGCGCGTGGGGCGCGCTGGGCGGCCGCGCCTTCGTGCTCCACCGCCACGGCCTCCCCGCGCTGCCCGGCGACGCCGACGCGCCCGGCGCGTGGCGGCCCTACGTCGAGCGCGTCTGCGCGTCCCTGAACGCCATGGCCGGTCCCCGGTCCGCGCAGCTCGCCGCCTGCGACGCCAACGCGAGCCTCTGCGAGCGCAAGGGCGCCGCGCGCCACGAGGCCGCGGGGCCGGCGTGGTGGGGCACGACCGGTTCGACCTGGAGCCTCGCGCGGCTCCTCCCCTGGTCCCCCAAGTGCCACTGCGACGTGCTCTGGGACGCCGTCGGCGACATCCGGCACCACGCGGCCCGCCACCTCATACCCTACTAACGTGTTTTTGTGATACGGGCCTCGAGCCGCCGTGCATCGATTGGCTGAAACCAAAAGGTCACTGCACCTTCAACGAGGCGTTTCAGATATCCGAGCTTTGGACAGCCGCTGGGCATGCCGCGGAGCTAAGGGCTGCCGCCCAGCGCGCGCCCGTGGCGCGTCCCTAGGCGCGCCCCCGCGGCGGCGACGCGCCCATGGGGTCGTCGCCGTCGAAGAAGTACGGCGCCGCGGAAGCGCCGGTCCAGCCGCCGCCCAAGGCCAACAAGAAGTACACGGCCAAGAAGGCCATCCGCGTGTCGTCGGCGCGCCTCGGCGCCGCGGTCTACGAGGAGCTCTACGAGGACGCCGACCCCGCCGAGGTCCTCGGCCGCGGGCGCCTCGGCGACGTGGCGCTCGCGCGCGGCCGGGGCGAGCGCGCGGGCGACGCGTTCGCGGTGCGGACGCTGACGACGACCAACAGCAGCATCGAGGACATGCGGCGCCAGATGGTCGTCTTCGAGAAGCTCCAGCGCGAGATCCACTGCGACTGGCTCGTGCCCATCGCGTCCTGCTGCCTCGGCCGCGGCGACGAGCCCCGCGCGCGCGTCGTCTTCAAACGGTGCGCCGGCGAGTTTTTGGAGGTTTTGTCGTCGGAGCCCCACCGGTCGACCTTCACGGAGGCCGCGGCGCGGGACGTCGTGCGCAAGCTCGCCACGGTGCTGCGACAATGCCACGAGGCGGGCTTCGCGCACCGGCAGGTGCGCGCGGAGCACGTGCTCGCGGCCGAGCGCGGCGGCGGGCCGCCGAGCCCGCGGTTGGGCGGCTGGGGCCTGGCGGCGCCGACGGACCCGGAGGCGGACGACGCGAACGTGCCCGACGCGCTGAACCTCGCGGCGGATTTGGTCTACTGCGCGCCGGAGCTCGCGGGCGGGTGCGGCCGCGACGACCACGACGCGCGGCGCCTGCGGACGCACGGCGGCCTCGACGTCTGGGCGCTGGGCGTCTTCTTCCACGTGCTCCTCTTCGGCAAGGGGCCCCTCTTCGACGTCGACGACGCGCGGTGCGAGGACCGCGCGGGCGTGGAGCGGCGCCTCGCGGAGGCGGCGCGGCGCGGCGGGTCGCTCTTCAGCGAGAACGTCGCGGGCCCAATCGCGGACCTCGTCTCCGACGAGGGCAAGCGCCTGTTGGCGGACATGCTCATCGTGGACCCGGACTACCGGCCGACCTGCGCCGCCCTGCTCGCGACGCCCTACCTCAAGGGGGAGACGCGCCTCCCGGCGGAGACGCTGTCGACCGCGCACGTCGCCGCGTTCGTCAAGCGGCGGAGGAAGAAGGCCGCCGCCGCGCCCCGGGTCGTCCAGGTCAAGGCCCGGGACCAGGAGACCAAGGAGGAAGCGCCCTAATGTTGTCTTTTCTTTTTTTGGCCGCGGCGACCGAGCTTCTCCCTTCTTTGTTACGCCGACGGCTCCGCGCGGGGTCGCCGCTTCTTCGCCGGCTCGGGCAGCGCGGGCTCGGGCGCGAGGACGGCCCAGCGGACGTCGTTGGGCAAGACCGTCTTCGAGATGGCGGGCATCGCCGCGGTGACGCGCATCGTCGGCGACGCCAACGAGACCTTCGACGGCATCGACGCCGACGCCAGCGGCAAGATCGACCGCGACGAGCTCGAGGCCTTTTTGCGCAAGGAGGGCTGCTGCGACGAGCAGCTCTCGCCCGAGGCGATGGCCAAGGCCGTCGAGGACATGGACGGCAACGGCAACGGCGAGATCACGCGCGAGGCCTTTGTCAAGTGGTACTCGACCTGCGAGGCCCAGGTCCTCGCGGAGACGCGGCGCTGCTGGGACATGTTCGATTTGAACGGCGACGGCCGCCTCGACGCGTCCGAGGTCGTCCACGTGCTCAAGCAGATGTCCGGGGACGACGACGTCGACGAGGACGGCGCCCTGAAAGCCATCGCGGAGATCAAGGACGGCGCGCGGGCGTCGGGCGTCGAGACGGCGGGCATCGAGCTCACGGACAAGGGCTCTTCCCTGCCCGCGTCGACGGACACCGTGGGCTTCGACGAGTTCAAGGCCTGGTTCGCCACGTCCGAGTTCTTCCAGGCCAAGTCGAGCCAGACCAAGGCCGTCGTCGAGGCCGCGGGCGACGAGGAGGACGGCGAGGGCCTGTCGCTGTCGTGGCCGGCGGACGCGAGCCCGTCCGGCAAGTTCTTCTTCGTCGCGTCGTTCCCGCTCGTGGCGCTCTTCAAGGGCTCCATGACCTGCCTCGGGCCCTACGCGCGCTTCGTCGTGTCCATCCTCTGGATCGGCATCTTCTCCTACTTCATGGTCGAGTGGGCGACGGTCGTCGGCGACACGCTCGGGATTCCCTCCGTCGTCATGGGGCTGACCTTCTTAGCGGCGGGCACGTCCGTGCCGGACCTGCTGTCGTCGGTCATCGTCGCGCGCCAGGGCCACGGCGACATGGCCGTGTCGTCGAGCGTGGGCTCGAACATCTTCGACGTGCTCTTCGGGCTCCCCGTGCCGTGGCTCTGCTACGCGATCTACCACGACGAGCCCGTGCTCGTCTGCGCGGGCAACCTGGCCATCTCCATCATGGTGCTGATCGGCATGATCTGCCTCGTCGTGGGCATGATCAACTACAACAAGTGGCGGATGACCAAGTCCATGGGCAACGCGATGTTCGTGTCCTACGGCTTCTTCGTCGCGCAGGACCTCATCCGCGTCTTCCTGCCCAACGTCTTCGGCGGCGACTGCTAGGCGGTCATGCGAAGACGAGGGGGCGCGGCGCTCCTGTGAGCCGCGCCCCCGCCTTTTTTGCGGCGCCGACGACGTCGCCGGCCGCCGCCGCGGTCCCCCGCCGCTTGC